TTATAGGAAAGGCACATCGACTAGAAAGCCAAGATTGAATCAAAATGTTGTCCAACACCACACGGTGGTTGAGAAATTCGTTGTTCAGCAAAGTCTGGCTGAAAAACCGAAGTTTGTATTTTGCGGATTTGTCTGGCCACTTCATTTTAAGCCCCTGGCAGTGGCTTTGCCTCTTACCTAAGAACTTTGTATCAGGTTTCAAATGAGCAAGATTTTTTATTTTTCAGGAGGAAGTACGGTAGAGTGTCTTTGGATCATGCTACAGACTCGCCATCGACTTCTCGGCTTTCCCCTGAGAGCACGTCGTCAGGATCAGCTGTCAGCAAACTGGCCCCTCGGAAGAGAATTGGTAGTCGAAAGGTGCTTTTTTTTTTTTTTCTAATGAAGGATTTCAGATGCAAAGTGTTGTGGGCATTTAGCGATTCAGATTTCCAGTGCGTAGATTCATCGTGCCTTATTAATACTTTGTTACAGCCTTTGCCATTAGGCGTTATGTTTAACAACGCTCATTCCAGATGCTGTTTTTGAGTGACTCGCTTATTATTCGATCATCTGCCAAAAAACGTATGGTAAGCGTGAAAGGAGTAACAGCGTGCATCACCGAATTTAGGCCGAGGAACGAGGCTGAAAGTAATTTCCGAGACTCACAAAGCCCTTCCAAGAACCTGACGTTAACCTTAAGCCCTGGAAAAAGTTATAACTGTAAAAAAGAAATAGCAACTTGAGTTGTCTCGCTTACGGGTAGTCAAACCCGGAGCTTTTTCCGTCAAGTTTGTTCCTGAATTTCTTTGCCACCTGTTCATGGACTTTTCTATTCTTACTTTTCTTTTAGTATTTGTACTAACCCAAACTGTTCCAAATCCCCGCAAGGACTTCTTGGAGAGTTCTTGAACGATTGTGAGTTTTTATTAAGGATTTCTGATCAGTTGTAATTCCACATTCAATGATCCTCATTCTTGTCTCTGTGTTACTGTGAGTTTGCTAGTAGTCACAAGTTTATCTCATTTTGTACATTGCATCAACTCTTTGATTTGCTTCCCTTAAAAAAGTGAAGAATTTTGAAATTGCGCCACTTCGTTCTAATTAGGCTCCAAACTTCGCCAACTGTAGGTGATGTTAACAATTAACTTGGCGGTCCCAGCCTATCGGTGACGGCCTAACAGGATGTTTGAGGGAAAAGATAAAATGCCAAAGAGTTTTCTTTTCCTGACCTTGAAATGTTTCGAAGGCCTAGTAGTTCACTGCTCCACATGCGTTATTTCATTTAGCGCCAGTTCGTGACACTTAGTAATTTTTATCTTCACTACATGAAGAGGATGAGCTACTTCAGCACGACAAATCACAACATTGGAGTTTGGGCCAACACCACCCCAAAAATAGTTCAGCCTCATTTAAAGGACGAAGCCCGAAAAGGATAATTATAATTCGGGTCTAAAAAATCCAGTATTATAACAGAAGCAATGCACTGTAAGAAGTACGAGGAATTGAAGAAATGATTACAGTCATGGACCACCCAAGTAATCAAAACTAGCAACGGCGAGGTGGTGGATATAGAAGGAATTTCAAGAGTGATTTAAACGAGCAAAATTAAGGGCTTTAACATGAAATTTTTTTAGAAAGGAGTTCGAGAAAGGAAGGGGTTGAGGGAAGGAACGCTTGGCCAACTACGACACAAACTCCAGCTACTACTACATCTAAAACAAAAGGCCCTTTCCCACCAAAGGTGGCCTAAGCGCACAGTTTGAAATTTTGGAATGCCGAATATTTACAGGACAGTCAGATCACTTAAAAAAAATTGCTTCTCTCAGGAACCTTTTTTAAGGTAAAAAAGGAACGAAAGAAGCAGGGCAAATGCTGATGCGCTCAGTGAAAGGAAATTGACAACTTTCGCTACACAGGCAGATTTTTCCAATTTATCTACACGAGAAGACATCTGAACCAACTGGATCCTCAATTCCATTGTTTCATCTTCTCCGTAGTAGTTCGAACTTTGTGAAATACTATTTGCCTGTAAAATTTATAGAAAGTTCAAGCTCAGTGCAGTTAACTTTCTTAATTGAAGAGTTTTCAGTGAAGTTCTCAAAAACGATTCAAAATTTAAGGAATGGCAAAAAAAAAAAAAAAAAAAAAAA